AATTTATTAGAGCATAAGCTTTCGTGGGCTACAACCCACTTCTTGGGTTGTAGCCCACGAAAGCTTATGCTCTAATAAATTTGTTAGTCTCTAAGGTGCCACAAGTACTCCTGTTCTTTTTGCGGATACAGACTAACACGGCTGCTACTCTGAAACCTGTCAGAGGACAGGATACTGGGCTTGATGGACCTTTGGTCTGACCCAGTATGGCTGTTCTTATGTCTTTTTCAGTGTCACTGCTTCCCAGTATACATTCCCCCATTGTGTAAGTATGGCCTATGTTCTTTGTTCAAAGATTTACATTGAGCCATATTAAAATGCACATTGTTTGCTTGCACCCAGCTTACCAAGCAACCCAGATCGCTCTGTATCAGTGACCTGTCCTCTTCATTATTTACCTTCCCCCTATTTTTGTGTCATCTGCAAACTTTTATCAATGACTATTTTATGTTTTCTTCCAGGTCATTAACAGAAATGTTACATAGGGTAGGGCCAAGAACCAACCCCTGTGGGACCCAGCTAGAAACACACTCTGACCAGGGACCTGTTGGTGCCAACTGGCAGAGAGTATACGGAGTCTATAGGGGGGTTTAGGGATCCCTGGGGTCTCATATCTACATAATAGTTAGCCAAAGGAGGTCATGTAAGGTCTCTACTGAGAGCCCATAGCCTGCTGGTCATCATAATCACTTTGAAATGTATGTAAGGATATTATTTTAAAAAGTTATGCATCTACACCGAAAACTATGTTCTTAAGATATGTAAGGTAAGACGAGTCACTAGAAGATGATAAACAGGAATTGTTCAGGCAAGGGGCAGTAGACTGGCTGGTAATTGTAAGTCTATTTACATATAAGCCACCAGCTAATCAAGACAGTGAAGTTGACAAGAGATCACAAAAATCTACATGAGGGAACACATGGCAGGAAGGTGTCCTGTTGATGTCAAACATTAAAGAACTAGTCTGGTACAACAGGAGAATGCAAGGAGACACACAGGATCCTTCTCTAGGGAGACAAGTTGAGAGTGTGACTTGTTTCATGAAAAAAGGATCAGGGCCCACCTGGTTGAAAAACACTGTTGAACAATACTACAAGACATGACAGTGATACCAGAGAAATTCCCCAGACGCCATTTTGTACAAATTGTTTGTACATTATTTATTATATTAGTGTATTGTTGGACCAAGAAAATGTATGTTAAATTACAAATAGTTCAAAAAAGGTTGGAAACTGTAATGGGTTTATTAAAAGAAATTTAAAATTAACTTGTAAAACATGTATTAAAATTTAATGTGAGCAATTTACAGCCAACCATTTGTTTATCTAAATGTAACTCATAAATATGTCATGTAACAGTTTTACCCTAGTTTTGCTTAAACAATTGTATGAGTGTAATATTATATTTGCAAGAACTTGTTATGAGAGTCAAAGCCAATACACACAGAGTTATGATCATTATATGTCACTTTACAAATGAAATGAAATTAAAATAAAACAAACAGGAATGCAAGCAATTTTGCATCTATTATAGTGATCTTAACGCTTCAGATATTGGTGGTGACTGAGATGCTTATCTTAATACATTGAATGAAAAGGAAGGTTAAACAGTTGGAGAGAGCTGAAATGATTACATCCTTCTAGTGAGGCAGAATTGGGGAAGTAAGGTATTGTGCCAATGAAAAGAAACATATGCTCAGTCTCAAAAAGAGAGACTTGAGCCAACTTTGGACAAAGCCAAACACCCACCGAACTCACTAGTAGGTGATGGCTAGATATAGAAATAGCATCAAACTATTAAGGAAGGGACTGATATAACAGAGAAATTCCCCAGACTCCATTTTGTATCCCTAGGTTCCATTTTAAATAAGCAAGAGTCACTCCATCATTAGAAGCTGCAGGTCACATAGCAATAAAAATACAGATGCTCCCCAACTTACACAAGTGTTCCGTTCCGGAACGCCTTGCGTAAGTCGAATTTTGCGTAAGTCGGGAACGTATACCCGATAATTACGCCAAAAAAAAAAAAAAAAAGTCATGGAACTTTTTCTGTAAGTGCGGATTTGCATAAGTCGGGTTTGCGTAACCCAGGGAGCGTCTGTAGAATCGACAGGAAAACCAAAGTAGGGGAAAAGTCAGTAGATCCTAACACTGAGGTAATCAATGGTTGCAGGCTAAAAACAGACCTGGCAGTTTGGAATGTGGGCAGTTGCCATGTGCAAGAATGATCTGACAGGAAGATATTAGCAGAAGTGTCTAGAAAGATCTGACATGACAGTATAAAAAAGTCAGTGTGTCAGTGAGCAGCCAGAGGGTTAGGAGCTGCCAGTAAAGCAGCAGCAGCAGGGCAGTAGCAGAGGGAGTTCTGCCCTGCCACTGGAACGCAGAGACACAGACTGGGGCACAGAGGAAGGAAAGAGAGACCTGAGGAGAAGACAGCGAAGTCAGCAGACAAAGTGAGCCTGTCAGTTATAATCATAGCATAGTACAGTATAGTGTTATTGTACATATGGGTGTGCTTTGGTTAATAAAGGTGTATGAATGTGTGTAAGTTGTAAAAGGAATGTATATTTGTAAGATTTAAGGAACATTTAAGAGCTGCTGTCAGTGTCCTGCAGAAGACTGGCCATCTGAAGCAGGGCGCAAACACTTAGAATGATCTCAAACTGTATGTTATTATGGTTTGGGATGCTCTCTAACTTGCAAGGGATTTGTGTTTTATATTATTATTGTATTAGGGACTGTTATTTGCACCAATAAAAAGGTGCCTTGTTTTGGTAAAAAACACTGTTTTAGGTTAATAGTTTATTTCTTAGAAGGCTGTATCCATGTCCTCTGGGAAATTCCTTAGCCACCCTGGAGACCCATACCTGAGGAAAACAGATTGAGGAGCACAGGTGTGTGGTTTTAAGGGAAAACCTTTTAGGAGATATTTAAATTCACCTCTCTTGAGGGAACCCTTGGTAAACCCAGGTGTGAGTAATAGGTTAGCTATTCTGGAGATACCCTAAATCTGTTTTCAGGGTAACAACGGTAACTAGTTAAGTAAGTTAGGTTCTAGAATGCGTTATGCTTTTATTTTACATGTAACCATTTATTTCCAATATTTCTATTTGCTATCATTTCAATTTCTACTCTTCTTTAAATACACTTTTACTTGTTTTCATTATAGACATATCTAAGAGCAGTGTGTTAAATAGAGCGATGATCCTGAGGTGAAATTTGTAAACTGGTGTGTGAATGTCCAGTAGACTAAGGGCTGGTCACTCCAGGGGGATGTGTGGAAGGCTTGACAGTTGGAGCATGCTTATAGCTAATCTAGAGCGAGACAGCAGGGCCTGCCTGGGGAGTGCTTGTGTTGCCCATGGCCAGTGGGGTTGGAGAGCTGACTCCCAGCAGGCAGAGACAGCAGGCTTCTGCACACTATGAGCAGGTGGTCACGAGGTACCTCACAGCCTTGGGGAGCATCACACCCTCCTGTTCAATGACAATTTGCCCTTTATTGTTACATTTTGAGACCTATTGGTTAGCCAGCTTTAGACCCATTTAACGCGTGCCATGTTCATTTTATATTTTCCTAGGGTTGTTTTTTTTTTTAAATAAAAATGTCCAAGTCAAATGCCTTACAGAAGTCTAAGTATATTACAGCAATACAGTTACTTCTACCAATCAAACCTGTAATTTTAGCAAAAAAAGCTATCAAGTTAGTTTGACAAGATCTATTTTCCATTAACCCTGTTGATTGGCATTATTTATATTAGCTTCCCTTAATTCTTTATTAATTAAGTGGTGTATTAGTCACTCCATTATCTTGCTCAGGATCGATGTCAGAGGGACAGGCCTATAATTACCTGCATCATCCTGTTTATCCTTTCTAATTACAGATGCTCCCTGGGTTATGCAAGACCCAACTTACGCAAATTCGACCTTACGCAAAAGGTTCCATAAGGCATAAATAAAATTTTTGAGTTGCGGAAAATATTGCATAGCGTACGGAAACACAGAGTACTGTAGTGTGGTGTGCGGAGGAATACAGCGGTAGCATCTCCTACGAGGAAAGGCTTTGCACTCTCACAGCCTCTCAGTCTCGTGTCATTTCAGTGATACTGTATTTCTGTTATTTCACCCTATTATTTCATTCAAATCATGCCTGGAAAGCGACCAAGTGATAGCAAGAGTGCAGGACCAGTTCGTAAGCGAAAGAAGATTGATTTAGAGCAGAAAATGAAAATAGTGAAAAAGTATGAAGGCGGACAAAGCCTGTCGTCAATTGCTCGTGAACTCGATTTGGCTACCTCAACAGTGAAAAGTATTTTGAATGATAGTGCACGCATAAAAGAGCATGTGAAAGGCTCTGCTCCTTTAAAATCAACAGTCATAACGAAGCAGCGTACTGGTGCTATCTATGAAATGGAAAATTTGTTAACAATGTGGATGGAAGATCAGATTCAAAAATGTATGCCGCTTAGCCTAATGATTATTCAAGCAAAGGCTAAAAGTATTTTTGAAGATGTAAAGGGAAAATACAGTGACCCTAACGCAAAGTTTGTGGCTAGTCATGGGTGGTTTAATAGATTTAAACAACGTGCAAATTTTCACAATGTAAAAGTGAGTGATGAGGCTGCTAGTGCTGATACAAAAGCAGCTGAAAAGTATCCCGAAGTGTTACGAAAACTTATAGAAGAATGTGGTTATACAGCACAGCAAATCTTTAACGTCGACGAAACTGGATTGTTTTGGAAAAAAATGCCAGACAGAACATACATTTCAAAAGAGGAAAAGACGATGCCAGGGTTTAAGGCTGCGAAAGATAGGCTAACACTTTTGCTTGGGGGTAATGCAGCTGGAGATTGCAAATTGAAACCGTTGCTTGTTTATCATTCAGAAAATCCCCGTGCGTTTAAAGGCATTAGCAAAGCTACCCTTCCAGTTCATTTCCGTTCAAATCGAAAGGCTTGGATCACAATGGCACTTTTTGAAGATTGGTTTATAAATCTGTTTATCCCTGAAGTGGAAAAATTCTGCAGAGAAAACGACATCCCATTCAAGATTATGCTTATCGTCGATAATGCTCCTGGACATCCTGCACATTTAGACGACTTTCACCCTAATGTAAAAGTCGTGTTTCTACCTCCTAACACGACTTCGATCCTACAGCCCATGGATCAGGGGGTCATTGCTAATTTTAAAGCCTATTATCTACGAAGAACATTTGCACAGGCAGTAGAAGCAACTGACAGAGAGTCTGGCAAGACTTTGCGCGATTTTTGGAAATCATATAACATTTACCAAGGCATCATAAACATTGCTAAGGCCTGGGCAGAGGTTACCCAGGTTTGTTTGAATGCCGTATGGAAGAAAGCATGCCCACAGTTTGTACACAGCTTTAAAGGTTTCGAAAAAGACGAAACATATGAGGAGGTGGCAGACGAAATTGTGAAGCTTGCCGAGCAGCTTGAGCTGGAGGTTGATGTTGGTGATGTTGATGAGCTTATTGAATCCCATGGAGCTGAATTATCAAATGAGGATCTTATAGAATTAGAAGCAGCAAAAGTAAAAGAGCAGACTGAAGCGGAGGATGAAGTTGAAGAAGTAGAAGAGCCACGACACTTCAACACTAAGGAGATGGCACTTGCATTTCGTGAGATTGACTCTGCAATGGCAAGGTTTGAGAAGATGGAACCCAATTCCTCACGATTCTTGAAAGTGAACAGAGGCATTGATGAAACGCTGGCCTGTTATAGACAGATATATGAAGAGAAGAAAAAGGCCATTATCGAGTCATCTCTTGATAAGTTTGTAAGGAAGGTTGAAAGGCCTGCAACGTCCACATCTCTACAGCCTTCCACCTCCAAAGCCCCCTCCGACGACCCCGATGATGTAATGTCTGTCTCCTCCTCTCCTTCCTCATCTTCAAATTAAGCCCATTGTCATCCACCACCAAAATGCAGCCTTCAGCGTCCCAGGATAACAATAAGATTAAGGTAAATGCAATATTTTTGTTGTAATTGTTTGTTTTTTATGCTTGCACAATATAAGTTTCAGACTTATGTAAAATTCGGGTTAAGCAAGGCTTTCCGGAACAGAATGATTGCACAAGTCGGGGACCGTCTGTATTGGCATAACATTAGCTTTCTTGCAATCTTCTGGAAATTCCCCCATGTTCCAAGGCTTATTGAAAATCAAAATTAACGGTCCAGTGAGCTCTACAGGAAGCTCTTTTAAAATTCTAGGATACAAGTTATCCGGACATGCTGATTTAAAAATGTCTAACTTTAGTAGACAGCGTTTAACATCCTCCTGAGAAAGTTAACACGTCTTCATCAGCTCTACAAGCCAGAAGAATAATCAAAATCCAACAACCCTAAACCTTGGTCTAGATTCATGATGCTCTCAGACCTGTTGCTAGCCTCTGCAGAATGAGACTACCCCTAACGTTTCTTTAACATTTTACTCAATTTCTCTCAGAATGTTAATTCTGAATTTCTGGATCTGCAGCATGGAAGCTAACTGTATTTGTGCACATTTACCTACCCATGCCCTTACACAAATGTCAAGAATTTTTAATTCCCAAGTTTTCCATCACTCTAACATGGACTCTTCATCTTAAAATAAATAAATAAATAAATAAATAAATAAATAAATAAAAAGTCGCATGAAATCGCTAGATGTTAATTTAGAAATGAATCCAATTCCCTATGAAGTTAATGAAACATATTATTACACTAACTTTAATGGGAGCTGGATCAAGCCTCTCAAGAGTTTCTTCTTATTTTTATTATTATGATTGCTATTATGAAAAAGGAGCTTGCGTGCAGTGATAAGATACAGGGATAATTCCCAAATTCAGAGCTCTGAAACCTGAGCAGCAGGTTCATCTATCAAAGTATGGATGTTTATTAGTGTGGGATTCACAACAAGGACTAGAGAGAGCTCAAACAACTATGACTAAAGTTTAATCTTCTCTAAGGAGAGGCTTCCAAATGTTTATGAAGCCCTTGACAATGTCCCTTTAATACACAGTATAATATTGTGTCCTGCTATCACTTCAGTGTATTTGTAATACAAATTATACTTAAGCTATATTGCCTAGAACTTAGATAAATAAAACCAAAATAGTATTGAACTGTTTCCGCCCCATACAACAAGGTATCCTTGGCAGCTTCTTAACCATCCATTACAATCCAAAGCAATTTCTCTCTGTAGCAATTTAAGAGCTTGTAAAAATATAATGGCCGATTATAGGCGAAACAAACCACAGAGTTATTGAACCTTGCAGGCCCTCTGAAGCATCTCTGTTGACGTTTAAGTGTGAGTTATTGTGTCACAATATCATAAAAGTGTGCTCAGAGCTACAGATATATTGTTATTTAAATGACACCAAAATAAGCCAGTTTCATACAAGAGAAGGCTACTTTTACAGAAATCGGAAGTTCCCATTTCAGATTTTCAAGGCTATAAGAGATAGTTCATTTAGAGCAGTAGCTCTCAATCTTTCCAGACTACTGTACCCCTTTCAAGAGTCTGATTTGTCTATCCTCAAGTTTCACCTCGCTTAAAAAGTTACAAAATCAGACATAAAAATACAACAGGTGTCACAGCAGACTATTATTGAAAAACTGCTTACTTTCTCATTTTTATCATATAATTATAAAATAAATCAATTGGAATATAAATATTGTACTTACATTTCAGTGTATAGTATACAGAGCAATATAAACAAATCATTACCTATGAAATTTTAGTTTGTACTGACTTCACTAGTGCTTTTTATATAGCCTATTGTAAAACTAGGCAAATATCTAGATGAGTAGATGTACTCCCTGGAAGACCTCTGCATACCCCCAACTGTACATGTACCCCTGGTTGAGAACCACTGATTTAGAGAAAGGTAATACATTTTGTTCTTCCTATATTGTATACCGCAGTTAATCTCCAACCCTGAATCAGCATACATATATGGTTATTTCCCTCTTGCAGGGGTACTTTGGGTCCAAATATAGGTTCTGGATAAAAAACATTTTACAAAACCCATTAATAGAAATATTTAACATATAAACATTCTCTCACAATGTGTGCAACCCAAAAACCAACAGCATTGGACTAGGGCAGGAGAACCAAAAAATAAAACCAATTCATCTATTTTAATTGTCCAAACTAAATGAAAGGGAAAATCTGCATCAATGAGCATCAATGGAAGATCCTAAGTCTTCACTGCAAAAAGGTGTACTTTTAATATCAAGATAAAAACTATAGTTCCTTATCTCAGCTAAAATCCTAGTGACCTTGATATAAAAACACATCATTTTTGCAACGAAGACATCGCTTTTGAAAATTCTTTCAATGCTAATGTTCTAAGGTGTTCTCAGCAACACAGGGAAAATATGCTGAACAAAGAAACGAAGCCAGGTTAAACATTAAAACACAGTAGACCTCATCTTGCAAGGTGCTGAATCCTAATGAAGTTCAAGCACCTAATACAGTCCATCCTTGTCTGCCCTAGGAAAAAAGATGTATTTAACGTGTTAGCTAAAACGTTAAAAAATGCTTTTTCCCCAGTGTAGATGGGGCCTTGAACAGTAACCCACAGATAGAGCCTTCTTCCCATGGCAAGAGTAGTGCAAGAACATAGCATCACTATGACAGCAACCACCAAGCCCCACCTGCATCTAAAACCTTAACATTTTGTGGTAAACATGCATTTCAGAGTTTTACAAGTTCGCAGTGACGTGTACATTAAATGAGTTACAGCCCCATTTTAGTGAATCAAGATGTGTGACTCTTCCACGAGCATTAACTTCCAAATGGGAACAACCAGACCTTGCCATTTCCACTAAATTGAGATAAATAAGGTGAATTCACATTTTTTATGGTGCTGTTTCACTGCTTATGACTACGAATACCAGGCCTTGTCTACACACATGAATTATACCACTGCAGCTGAAGTGTTACAGCCCCCCCTAATATCCATACCAGCATGGATATTCTCCTTTGGCAGCATGAGGCACCTTTACACAAACACAATGGGTCTACACTAGGACCTGTACCGATCTATTTCAGAAGGAAAATCACACTCCTAGCCAAAATAGTTAAAACTGGTACAATAATTGTATGTAGCTCAGG